GTCGTGAGACTTGTCAGGGAGACACGTAAAAATATTTCTGATGTTTGAAACCATCACTGAGCAAATTTCAACAATCTAAATAAATACGTATAGTATATCAACCAATTACTGAATAATGAAACTACTAAATTTTTAATATTTAGAGGTATCCTTGAAAAGAGTGTAGATGAGCTGCTTGTTGATTGGTCAAGAATTTTTTCTTATTTCTGATTGGTTAAAAAAACTGACCGACGAGACTGCAATTCTTGTCTTCAATGATGTCACATTTACAGATAATATATATGAATCTAAATATATATATATATATATATATATATATATATATATATATATATATATATATATATATATGTATGTATTTAGATCCCATATATATTTGTTTTCGATTCCAAATCTCGTTAGGGCAGTGCCAGTGTAAGAAATTCGATTCTCACTTGGTGCCTTTGTGCTGTGCCAGACTAAGTTAAATAAAAAATAAATCAGAAAATAGGCCGTTGGATCGATAACGAAAGAAAATCAAAACTAGGGAAAGTTTTGTGAGTAAACAGATTTTCTTGAATCTGTAAATACCTCAAAAGTGATGAAGAACTAAAAATACCTGCAAGGAAGAAAAAGAAAAGAAGAAATGATCAAACGGTTTGTCGTCCATGGGTGCCATTTTTTTTTTTTTTTTTTTTTGCTTGCATAACCAGTTTTATTCATATTAGTAATGGATAAAAAAAAAATAGCTGACATCAGCTTCAGCGGAAAATGGGGAAAAGTATATATATATATATATATATATATATATATATATATATATATATATATATATATATATATATATATATGTGTGTGTGTTCCTGCAAAAAAAAAAAATGGTAAAACAAGGACAAAAAACAAAACAAAAGATGGATTCTCATTGCATATCTCTTATCCAAGCAGCGTCTTACGCAAGCAGTATGGCGAGTTCAGCTGTAAACAACACATTGACTCACAGAAATAAATCGTTGTTGTCCTATCATTATGATTATCAACAGCATGAATAGCAGAAAGCGACAAAAGGACACCTCACCACATACGCACACACGCATATATATATATATATATATATATATATATATATATATATATATATATATATATATATATATATATATATGGTAAGCAAAATGGCGACTGCAGTAAAAAAAAAAAAAATCCGCATACCAGGTTCAAAACAACTGATGTTAAATCCTTTGAAAGCACTATATATACCTTCTCTGGCTGTATTTTTTAGCCTTGCCACTAATAGACTGAAATGTTGGTCAAGAAAGGCAGTCAAACATTTTCTGTTCTTTGCTGAATGTAGATCTTCAAATATTCAATACCAATTTTTCAATATTATCCTAATACATACATAATAATACATATAGCCAGGCAAACATTATTTATACTAAAATTTACCCACTGAATGCTTGAGAGCTGATCAAGGTAGGGAGTTACTGTTAAAATGTTTATGATAAATATTGTAGGTAGTGAAGAGTATGTGCCACAACGAAAGTACATATCAATTACTCAGTACTCAAGGAATGCGCTTTCTTTTATTTGCCACAGTTCTTTGTGATTCTTATTTAATATTTTTAACCATTGATCTTAGAAAGCGATTTTATATAGCTAACAGTTTAGATATTTCTGGTTGAGTTTCGCACCACGCATGGCATCCATAAGAAAGATTGGAAATGATGAGGATATTTAAGAATATGACTCAAGTTTTCAGGTTAATATTTTGGTTTTGTTGTAATTTTCAGTGTTGGGGTAAATTATGCCTAACACACATTATTCTATGTTTTTGAATTCGTAGCCCCAGTGTCTGAGGTTTGAAAAAGGGAGGGTCCTAGCTCAGATATATTCGCTTCATTCACTCAAAACCTGTTTTTAATCATTTTAAATATTCATCCGAGAAAGATCGGATATACAAAAATAATAAATATAATTTAATATAATATTATATATACAAAAATAATAAATATAAATTAAATGTATTACTAATGGTTTTATGACATCATTTTCTCTTCAAATTACCTGTACTATCCATTTTAGTTGTTACGTGCTGGTCTTGTTCAAATTATTAATCATGCTAGATAACATGCTCTCTCCCATAAACTGTAACTAAGGTCTGCTCAGCATAGCTACAATATAAACCACAAGTTGGCTCTTTGGGTGTTGAACGAACACAAATGTGCCCTAGTAGACTGATATCATTTAATATGAGTGGCCAGTTATTATTTATTTATTATTATGTGCAGATGAAGGATTTTTAGTTGAGTTTTGGGTGTTCACATTCAGCCAATGGTGGAAATTAGTGTAACATTAATAAAAAGAAGATCTGATTTTGGGAAGAATATAACAATTAGCTGTTATCACTCTTTCCAGTATTGATGGGGTTTTCCTTCCTAAGCTTTTATAGGAAATAGTGTGGAATGTCAGCATCTTCATTATAACATTATTTTCTCTTTGACTTATATGTGCTATGCATTTTAGTTGTTGCTGCTCTTGGTACTCTTCAACTGATGGAGTTTCTTTTACTTATTACAGTTCTTTGTTTGTGATTCTGTAATGTCAAACCACAATGTTCAAAAACGTATCTTCTTCACTAAAATACACAGGTTTAATTTAATTTTTAACCATTGATCTTAGAAAGCGGTTTTATACAGCTAACAGTTTGGATATTTCTGAATGAGTTTCACACCATTCATGGCATCCATATGAAAGTCTCCAACTGAGAGGGTTATTTAAGAACATTAACCCTTTCATCTCTACGATCCTGAACAATTTTAATCTTTCTGCCTGGGCTCCCAAGACAAAATTCGCAAATAATTGGTAGGTAATGTTTCGCGGTAAATATAAAAATAGTTACAAGTGTTTAACCACCGTTAAACCGGTGGCTGGGCATTACGTCAATTTTCTCTACCACTGTTCAACCGGTGGCTGGGCATTACGTCATTTTTCTCTACCACCGTTCAACCGGCGGATGGGCATTACGTCATTTTTCTCTACCACCGTTCAACCGGCGGATGGGCATTACGTCATTTTTCTCTACCACCGTTCAACCGGCTGATTGGGCATTACGTCATTTTGCTCTACCACCGTTCAACCGGCGACTGGGCATTACGTCATTTTTCTCGACCACCGTTCAACCGGCGGATGGGCATTACGTCATTTTTCTCTACCACCGTTCAACCGGCGGATGGGCATTACGTCATTTTTCTCTACCACCCTTCAACCGGCGGATGGGCGTTACGTCACTTTTCTCTACCATCGGTCAGGCCTCAAAGTGTTAACGGTTAATGTTTCGGTTTTGTAGCAATTTGTGGTGTTGAGCGAAACTATCTCTGGCGCAGCCTGTTGTACGTTCAATTTCTGTATCTTCTGCACTAAGCTGGTTACAGCTGATCCATACGCCGAGCTATATGAAGTATTTACAGACTAGTATTTACTAATTCCACACTATTCCACTACACGTTTTTCGGGTTGTTGTCCTTATCTTTTTTGTCATATTCACGACTTTTCGTTGTACGCTACGGCCTTCTTCAGGTGATTGGAATTTCGAACAGAACCCTTTATTCCGTCCACCGAGGTAGATTGTTCTAGTTCCACGTGCCATACCTCTTCCGGATATCTCAGTTTCAGTTATATCCCTTTAGTAACTCAACTTTCCAAGTTTTTGTTAACCTCTGCTGTGGACGGGTACTGAGCTTTGAGTCAAATCACACGATTACTTCAACCAACGCTTTTATGCACTGAAGAAGGCCGGAGCGTACAATGGCCGAAACGTCGTGAATATGACAACAAAGATTCGGAAAACAGTCCGAACAATGTAAATAGGGTAAATAATAACAATACTTAATCTTAGAAATATAGTCAGATACTAATCTGAATTTTTATGGCTGATTCTGTGTAAGTGTCGTGCTTTAATTTCAATTCTAGATCATAATTTAGTGTACCCAATGAAGATCAAACTCATTATTATAGTCATGTCTTGTGAGACTAACTTGTTAAATATAGCTTCTAAATTTTTGAGTAGGATCAGCTTTTTCACGACTGGAAATTAATGTAAACGTGGCTTCGTCATCTAGAAAACAATGCCCCATATTAAAATGACCTTGTGTCATATTTTCTGTCGCGGGGACGATAATAAATACCAGCCTTGTATCTTCGTCTAGTGGCCTGCGTTCGTTTTCAAGCGAAAGCATGTTTTGTTGTTGGCGATTTTAAATCGCCAACGAAAAAAAATGAACACCACCTCTTTATTGCTCTAAAAGGAGAGAGGATTATTGGCCTTTCTCTGATGCATGCAGGAAGTGGTTAGTTTTAGCTAAACCCATATATAGAGTCGCTCATTAAACTGACCTTTTGCGCCAGATTTGTCTTCATGAGCCGGCATTATAGCTCTTCTTCAATTTTCTACAGTGTCCGCCTTTAAAATCAGCTTTCGATATCATTTGGCTGATCTTGAACACTGATCACTAGGGACAGTGGTGAATACATAATTATCTAAGCCATCAATCAAGTCGAATCACTAGCATTGAGAGACGACAGCAATTTATAATGATGATGATGATGATGATAAAGATGATAGTGTTGAGTGTAGAGGAATAGCAACTGTAATGGAGGAGAAATAGTATTTGGTGGTGGTTCGTTTTCCGTTTTTTTTTCTTTAAAGGATCACTGATTAGCTCCCTTGTTTGGAGGGTCTTCAAGGTCGCTCTAAACTGACCAAAGCTATGTTTCTTCTTCCATTTCAGTCAACGCCTAATCATACCAATTGTCTGGGTGTTTGTCTGAGATGCGCGAACAGACGTAGATTATGCAACTGAAAGCGTTTAAAGACATTTGCTTCGTTGCCTTTATCGTACCAAAAAAAAAAAAAAAATCGGTCACTGAAAATAAATATATTAGAGTGTATTGTTTGTTTTTCATTCGATTTTTACATCACATGGGCAATTTTTCCTCGTTTGTTAATGGCCCGATTCTGATAAATGCAAAATGACTGGTTGATATCTGACGTAGTTCATGTGTTTTGCTCCATTCCTTTTCTTTCTTTCTTTCTTTCTTTCTTTCTTTCTTTCTTTCTTTCTTTCTTTCTATCTATCTATCAATCACAGTCTGTTCATTATCTATCTATCTATCTATCTATCTATCTCTGCATGTTCATTATCTATCTCAGTTTCTTCATCTATCTATCTATCTATCTATCTATCTATCTATCTATCTATCACAGTCTGTTCATTATCTATCTATCTATCTATCTATCTATCTATCTGTTTTTTTTTAACCATCTGTTCATTATCTCATCTTCTATTATCTATCTATCTATCTATCTATCTATCTATCATCTTCATTATCTATCTATCTATCTATCTATCTATTTTAACCATCTCAGTCTGTTTCATTATCTATCTATCTATCTATCTATCTATCTCTATTTATCTATCTATCTATCTGTTCTTTATCTATCTATCTCATCTCTTTGTTTAGTATCTATCATTTATCTATCTATTCATCTATCTATCTATCTATCTATCTATCTTTGCATCCGTATAAAATTAAATAAGAAAAATGTATACACGAAATAACACGTATATGCGTACCTATACGAGGCAGGTACTCGGGGGACACAACTAGACAAAACTAAGTGGGAAATCAGCGAATACAAAGAAAAAATCTCTTTGGTTTGCGCTCGTAATCGATTAACAGGAATCGACTGCATTTGCAATTTTGGTAATTGTAAGAATTTCGTATTTACCATTGGCTTGGGTTTTCAGATTTGATCTCAGGTACCAATCCAACGATTTCTGAATTTGTTTTTTGTTTTGAAGACCTTGCGACATCCTATTTACCTATATATAGATTCTATATCAGCGACTTGTTCTGTGGGATGAACTACCGAATCACTACTCTACTCTGGACGCCCAGATACTCATAGTCTTCACATCAAACCACTTCCTCTCTAACATTCATATCACGAAACTCATTAATTGAAGTGCATATATATATATATATATATATATATATATATATGGCGAAAAATATACAGAAAAAAACAAACAAAAATCTTAATATGCAATTATGCTGTATTAATGTTAATATAAAGTCAACGTCGGACGTTTCGGTCTATTTTAGACCATCATCAGGACATTTTCATTTAAACATAATTAACATTAGAACATATAAAATTCAACATGAAAAGACGATGGACATAAGAGCACAACTAATCCAAACAGATAACTGAAATTTTTATATAAGATCAGCGTTCCGTTTAAATATGATCACGTCGTCGTCACGTGGGCGATGTTGTGAAAACGTATTCGAAGATGATTTCCAAATATTAAAATATTAAAAAAGTCGATTGAACTATTTTATATAAACAGTTCAAGAAATCCCTTCCGTTGATATAGGAATACGCAGAGATCAATAAGTTCTTATATCTTCATACAAGCTTGAAGTCCTCCACGTTACAAAGCAAATAAAAAATGATTTCAAAATATCAGACAGGCACGATGGAACAATTTTAAAACAGTTCGTTAATAAATCCTTTCCTTACTTGATCAATAGATTCTTATATTTTCGTACAAGCTTGAAGTCTTCCATGTTATAAAGTAAATTCAGGTTTGTATTTCCAGTAGACAGTATGTAATACTATTACATTACTATTACATTAATTATTATTAATTATTAATTACAGTATGTAATACAGTATGTAATATGTATGAAATACAAACCTGAATTTACTTTATAACATGGAAGGTGAAGGCTCGAAATAAACGCTCCTGCTAGTATTCAAAAACAACACAAATAATACATCTCACACAGTCAAAATATGAAAGGAAACTAACAACACCGAAACAAAACACCCTTGAAAGTGGCCTGTGGAAGTGGCCGAGAGTGCTTAGGGCAATGTACGATATTGTCAATTTTTGTATTCCTTCCCTTCCACCAAGCGGGAAAATGTAAGAACGTTGGAAAGACTAAATAAAAATTAAACTAATTTTCCTTTATCCGTTATATTTAAAGAAAGATATATTATAAAATGGACAAAATCCGACAATTATTTTAATATATATATATATATATATATATATATATATATATATATATTGTTTATACGTTATTTTATAGATGCAAATATTTTAGTAAATGCTCTGTTTAAATTAAACAGTATTAACAACATTTACCGTCCCGAATGTCCGAGGAATTTCATAGAAAATATGTCCTCCGAGAGGAATCGAACCTGTATCCTAAACTGAACCATCATACAGTCTGAAGCAGTAATTCGACCTTACTAACCAAGCTATATGACGGTACCGTGTAGGATACTGGTTCGATTCCCGTCGGGGACACACATTTTCTATGAAATTTCTAGGACATTACGACCGGTAAATGTCGTTATTACTGTTTTTTATAAACAGAGCATTTACTTAAATATTTTTATCTGTAAAATAACGTATAAACAATCGATATATATATATATATATATATATATATATATATATATATATATATATATATATATATATATATATATATATATATATAAATATACACATACATATGCAAAATACACGCTCATACTTACACTCTCTCTAAATTTAATTTTTATTTCCAGATATATATATATATATATATATATATATATATATATATATATATATATATATATATATGCGAATGTCTGTGTGTCACTTTTCAGCTTTACTCCTAGAGGCCGTAAACCAATATATCATACCATTTTGGAATCATACCAACTCCGTGAGCAAATTAAAGAACATTCCGCAATCCTAAAATTTTGAATTCCCAACTTTTTTTTTTACTGCGCTCATTTTCGGCGATTTTTTACGCGATTTTTTGCGACGAATTTTTTGCACGATAACAATTTTTATAACTTGGAAATAAATTGGGGAATAATCGTAATTAATTGCGAAATCTAGTGAAAGTCAGCCATGAAATAAAAATAATTTGTTTGTATGGAAAGTAAGGACCTACGCACATCATATTGTCTTTAAATTAAGTGGCGGTAGAAGAAATATCATTGAACTTTTTAAAAGGTAAGCTTAAATATTAAAGCAATAATTAATTAACGCGAGCAATTTTGAGTTCTTCTGTAGTTTATTGTTGCCTATCAACTCTACTCCTCCCTACCTATTGGGATTAAGGGCCAATCAAGAGCCCCTCGCGGAAGCTAGCTTAAAAGCCGCCTATATAGTGTATATATATATATATATATATATATATATATATATATATATATATACACACCTAGTGAGCCAGACTAGTGGTTGTATTGAGCTCTTTTCTTAGTTGTTTACTCGTATCGGGTTTTTTTCTTTGGCCTTCAAACCTGTATCTGTGCGATTTTTTTCGACAGACTTTCATGTTTCCAGCTCTTTCTTTTTTTAAAACCTTTTTTCTCCCTCGAGATTGATTTGATTATTGGCAAATCAAAAATTCGAAGGTTTTTCGAAACGAGTATAGTTATCTATATATATATATATATATATATATATATATGTATATATATATATATATATATATATATATATATATATATGTATATCTATATATATATATATATATATATATATATATATATATATATAACTATATATATATATATATATATATATATATATATATATATATATATATTACGAAGGAGAGATTTTAAAATATATATTTTACATTAGAGTTAATCCAATGCCAGGCTCGAGATGCTTTCAAGTTAGTGTGTTACTATGAATGAATAGTGCGATATGAATAAAAAAAAGAAAGTAGGAAGTGAAGATTATGGTGGTAAGAAGGGAAGATAACAATTTACGCACGACTTGAAGAGATTAAAACTGTAGAGTTCGGGGAAGCACACACGCGGGAGTCTTTTTCACAATGTAGCATTATTTAGCAAGTAAGATTTTCTCTTTACATTTGGAACCGGGAGTAAATGTTGTTGATTCGATTATATACTTATGTTACTTGGGTAGATTCTGGGGCGTGTGTCCAGCGGAGGACCTTTCAGCATCCATTGGTTCCTATGTTGATAAAATACTTTCTGACGTTTGCTGGCTGGCGATATGATTAAATATCGCTCTACAGGTGTTTTAGATGTCAAAAACTACATCAATCTGTTTGGCTGCTAGACATTTCCTGTAAAGTTTGTTTGGAATTTGAGGCTAATGAAGCGGTAGTGAAAACAATTTCACGCGCGATTAAAGTATCGGTGAAAGTTTTCTATGAGGGGGTGCTGATAAATTTTCGGTTTTTCCCTCAACGCAAAATCTGACTAAGCAATCAAATATCTGATTTATTTTTATTTATTTATTTTTTTTGGGAAATAACCTTTTTGTCGAGCAGGGAACTTTTCAACGAAACTCGAAATTTTTAAAAATACTGCTACTAGGATTCACCATTTTACTGTTGATAATATACATATATATAGTGTAACCCGGATATAAGAGAGTTGTCGGGACCGGAGAAAAGTCTCTTATATCCGGGTTTGGTCTATTTTATATACATTAACACAGGCTCTAATTTGGGACCAGAAAAAAACTCTTATATCCGGGTTTCTCTTATATCCGGTTACACTGATATATATATATATATATATATATATATATATATATATATATATATATATATATATATATATATATATATATATATATATATATATCTTCGGCAAAAAGCGAATTGAGTCACTGCCGGTCACTGTATGTGTTTATCTAAAAAAATAAATACGCTAATATTCGCATTCGTCCCTTCCGTGTGCCGACGGCTTAGTGGTAGCATCTACGACTGACACCAATGCCGTCGGGTTTCGATCCTAGCTAGACGCAACCGGATGTCTAGCCACACTGAAGAGACTAATGGATTCTTTTCTCACCTGTGGCATTCTCTTCCAATTTCTAGTTTCCTTGTCAATTGCAATCTTCAAAAAAAAAAAAAAACGCTCTCTTTCTGAATGTTGTTCCTTATTTGTCCTTTCTCATCACTAAGGTCTTCTGATTCTCTTCCACTCCAAGTCACACCTTACGTCTTAGTGGCATTATCGCCTAGCTTACGGTGAAATGATACCCCCCTCTTTTTCGTTTTTCATTTGTTTATTTTCCAGGTTCTGTTTATATGGACATTTATTTTTTCGCCACTGCCAACCGCCATCAACATTCAAACCCTCTTTAACTGCCACAACAGCAAGAGAATTTCGTGAGTTGACTGATTGTTTTGTTTTTTTGGGGGGTTTTTTTTTACGCTTTATCATCTGTTTGATGTTTATTTAAAACCGAAATATGTTTTAGATTATAAAAATAATAATTTTTGTGCGGGGTGAATATTAACAATGAATTCTGTGCATTTACAATTATTTTTAGAATGACAATGATTTATAGATACAACTCCCACTATTTAACCCATTGCTAGTGGGGAGTGAGGAACAAATGAATTCATATGCATTTTCTATGAGGGATACTGAAAGGTTTTCGGTTCGACACAACACAAAATCTTGCTAAGCAATGAAATATCCGATTATTTTTTTGGGAAATAACCATTTGGTCAAGCCGAGAACTTTTCAACGAAACTCGATCTTTTT